GTTTTTTTTTTTTTTTTATTGGTTTTGTGGGGGAGGAGTCTCAGCTCCCCCCAGCCTGGATACCGGGAATTGGGGTGGTTTTGGCAGGGCCCTTCCCTCCTTCTGCCCCATCCACTGCTCTGGGGAGGGGGAGAAGAGGGAGAGGGGGTGTCTCTGTCCTGGAGAGCTGCCAGACCCCAACTATTTAACATGTTTTTGTGGGGGGTGTCCAGTCTGGCTCGTGCCAGCTCCAAAGCCGCTGTCCCTGGCGGGGACTGGAGCAGCCACAGGAGGAGGTGAGGGGCTGGGCCGAGGCGAGGGGGGGTCCGGGCAGCCCCCCCGTTCCGGGAGGGGGTCGCGTGTTGCCAAAGCCTCTGAGCGTCTCCAATAAACCTTCTCCTGCACCTCTGCTCTCGTCTGCCTCGTCTCTCCCTGCGCACATGTCCGGGCAGCTCCGGGCGCCCGCCTCGCCTCCCCTCCCATCCCCGGGCTGGGGAGGGGCTGCTCTCGGTGCCCCCCGAGCAGGGGCTGAACCTCGGCCCGTGGAGGGGCTCGGGGGTCTGTGCATCCCCTGGCTGCTCCGTCAGGTGCTCAGAGGTCCCCAGAGTCCCTGACCCCTCCGCCCTGGTACAAGCCCAGGGTTCCCCAAAATCTGCCGCTGGCACCCCTGGGTGGGTCCCCAGGTCCTTCCCCCATGGTTCCTCTGAGTCCGGGGAGGAAAATCCACAAAAGCTGCGTCTGCAGCGACACGGGACAGCCCTGGGGTGCCGGTGGGGTGGGGACATCCCTCCCAAGGTCCCGACGCTCTGGGACAGGTGAAAGCTCAGCACTTCTGGCCCTGGCACGGGGCCACGGCGAAGGGCGCAGCTCCCTCCCCCTTCCCCCCACCAGCGCGTTTCAACATGAAAAATAATTACAATAAAATACAGTCACGGCACCCTGGGCTATGAGCTCACCTGAGCCAGCAGGGCCGGGCGGGAGCGGCCTTTGATGGGAGCTCTGGGATGCCGGCAGGAATCGCGCCCTGGCCCAGGACGTGCTGCCCCGCTCCAGCGGGGACAGGGGGGGACACGCCAGTCCTGAGCCCTGGCGTGGCCAAATCCCGGCCCGGGGGGTGCCAGGAACCCCTGGGCTTTGGGGAAACTGAGGCACGGGCGGGCCGTGACCCCCTTGGTGCGTGCAGGAGTTGTGGGGTACCCGGGGAGCGAGGGGCCGGCCTGGGAGCTCAGGGGGTTTGCCAGGGCTCTGCTGGGGGAGGTTGGGCTGCACAAAGCATCCACGCTCAGCACGGATGGGACACCCAGAGCAGATCTCAGCAGAGGGGCCGAACCCCTGTGAGCCCCTGGTGACCCCCAGCCCATCACAGCATCCCCTGCTGCTGCCCTGGTGGCTCCGTGGGGGTCCCCAGGTGTCAGGGCCCACGGAGGGACCCCAAAGCTTGGCCTCCACCTGGCCCCAAGCACTCCCAGCCTGGGAACAGCCCCAGACCTGTAATTACCCAGAGCGGGGCAGCCGACGGGAAAAACGAGCCGAGGGCTCGCGCTGGCCCCTGACCCGCCGGCCTGGGGCCACCTGGACTGGTTAAACTGGAGAGGCTCAGGGTGAAAGTGCTGCTGCCCAGGAAGGGCTAACTGGGGGTGTCTGTGGCTCCCCGGGGCTCTCCCTGGCTCCCAGGAGTTCACTGATCCCAGCAGCTCCAAAGCTGCGGCGTGGCTGGGCCGTGTAGGAGGACGCAGCTCCAGCCGGTCCGGCAGCTCCTCCAGGCTGGGAAGGAGGGAGGCCCTGGATGCCCAGGACGCTCCTGTGAGAGGGTTGTGCTGCTGGGGAGTTCTCTGGAGTCCTTCTGCTTTCCACAGGATGGTGAGACCCGGGTGGGAAGACCAGGGAGACATCGGGACCTCGATCCCCATCCTGGTCCCTGTCCCTGCCTGTGGAATGCTCTTGGCATCCCTGAAGGGGCACCCAGAAAAGCTCCCAGATAAATCAGTTTTATTGTCTTAAACACCATTAGAGCAGAGGGACGGTGCCCCAGGGCTGAGGAGTGTCCCCAACCTCACAGTCACCCCCCAGCAGGGTCCTGGCACAGCCCCCGCACAGGGGCTGCGAGCCATGGGGAAAAGGCCACCAAAACAGGTCTGTGAGGGTGAGCAGGGATGTTCTGCTGCCTGTCAAAGGCTCTGCACATCCAGAGCTGCAGGAGCCAGAGCCTGGCCTGGCCTTGTCAGCAGCTCTCCCAGCCTCCCCCCAGGGCTCTGTGCCCGGGGCTGGGGCTGGCTCCAGTCTGGGCACCCAGACATGGGGCGTCCGTGGCCCTGGGGACTCCTGCCAGGCTGGCCCCACTGCCTGCTCTGGGGGCTTTGGCGTTTCTGAAGAGGCTTTTTATCCCCATTAGAAAGCACCACTTGATGGGGAAACTCAGCTTTTGAGCAGGAGTTCTGTGATGGAGCAGGAAATTAGAGTTGGGAGCCAGGAAAGCGCAGTGCTGTGGCTGGGATTGATGCTCAAATACCCCCAAATTCCCCCTTGCCAGCTTCAGTCTCCCAGCCAGGGTGGGCTCGGCAGGTAGGACCAGCTCTGGCCCCCTCCCAGGGATGTGCCTGCCTTGGGGTGACTCATCCTGGCCCTTGGCTCCGCCGATTGCTCAAGGCAGCGACAGGAGCCAAGGTGTCACCTCCCTCAGCCTGGCCGTGTCCCCTCCCAGCCCAGGGATGTGTGAGGCAGGAGCAGGCTGGGTTTCAGCCCTGCCTTTCACACCAGGGCTCCAGCTCCTTTCCCAGGCCGCCCTGAGCAGAGCAGAGTTGTCCCCCCTTGGCCGTGGGTCCCAACTCATCTGTAAGAAGCTCCTTGGTGCAGAACTGCTGCAGATTTGGGGCTGGAGCTCCCTGAGCCCTCACCTGGCCTGAGCTGAGCACTTTCCATCCCAGGGCTGAGGCTGCAGATATCCAGGGCATTCAAATAAAAAAGCCAAAAAGCCACAAAAGCTTTGATGGCTCTTGTGTAACTCAGCCTGACCTGGCTGTACCCTTTTAAGCCACCAAATCTCTCAAAGCCATGAAAAAGCCACTATAAAATTAATATTTTTATGATCCCGTCTCCCACCGCTTCACAGCAGCTACAGAGCTCCAAAATGACCAGGACAAGGCCAGGAGCCACAGGGTGAGGATGGGATTTCAGCTCAGTTATGGTTAGATTGGCTTCCAGAGCTTCAGCACTGAAATGCAGCTGCTGGGCTCCAGCCAGGGAAATTCCTGGGCTCTCGGGAAGAGCTGAGGCACCGGCAGCACACTTGGGGTAGACTCTGAAATCTCAGTTTCAATGGGAAGAGGTCTGGGTGAAGCACAAACACGTGTGTGTGCACCCTCCCCTCCCTGAGCTCCTCCTTGTCTCCAAACCCTGGCCACAGAGTTGGGAGATGTGGGAAAAATCCACTTTAATTCCTTGTCCAGCTGCCCAAAACCCCGCTCACATTTAGATCCATCGAGGATCCACTCTCCAACCCCTCTGCCAAGGCCAAACCATCCTGTGAGAAAATCCTGCTGTACTTTATGCAAGATCTTGGGCAAGAGGCGATGCTGAGTCTGCAGGGAGCCGGGATTGGGAATTGTGCCTGCTGCCGTCCCCAGAGGCACCGGGAGCTCCCTGATGTCACACCCCGGTGTCACCCCCAGCCCTCCCGAGCCTGCAGGATCAGGATCCCTGATGGAGCAGGGATCAGAGCGGGGCACACGAGGCGCGGGGCAGGACAGCGAGAGCGAATCCCACGGGCAGGAGGGGAAGCCCCGGGATTTGGGACGTGGAGAAAGCAAGGCCAGAAGGAGGAAGGTGGATGAGGACACGCAAAGCTGCTCTTGGGAAAGGCCCGAGATGCAAACCACGAGCTGACTCACACAGGGGCTTTCTTAATCAAAAGCCTCCAAAAGCCTCGCTGGCGTTTGGCTGCTGGATCAGCACAGGGAGCTGCTCTGTGTGCCACAGCCCTGCCTGCTCCAGCCAGCACCGAGCCTGGTCTCAGGCACAGATCTCAGGCACAATTCAATTCTCAGGCACAATTCTCAGGCACAATTCAATTCTCAGGCACAACAGCCAGGGACAGGTCCCGGCCAACGCGGAGCCGCCGCCGTTCCCACCGCAGGCGCTTTGGCCTCAGGCTCTGCAGCACTCTTGGGTTTATTTATTCAGCTTCAGCAAACTCCCAAGATGAAAGTGAGACCGAGGAGTGTTTTATTAAGAAAGAGTCCATCATTATTTCTAAGAAAAATAAAAACAAACATCTTTTTGTCCTCGAGACGGTGTGGAGGCGTCTCGGCCTGGATTCTCCTCGGAGCACGGGGCCCACGCACGCTCCTCCTGCAGCAGCCCCAGGACTGCGGCCTCAGCTCCCACGGCACATCAGGCAGCTCCAGATGATTTTGCTTCCTCTGGATCTGTCTTGGTCATGATGGAGACTTTATCTTGCTTCTTTTCCATGCCCTCCCTGCCTTCCCTGGCTCAATCTCTGTTGCTGAGACCCTCAGCCACCTCCCCTCTGCCAAATCCCTGCTCTGGGCAGCAGGCCTGAAGCTTGGCAGGTAAAACCCACCCAGAGAGGGAGTCCAGACTGCCTGGAGAGGCTTTCAGGTGCTCTGAGTCACAGCTGAAGCTCCAGGTAGGAAAAGGAGAGGTGTCAAAACAGAGGAGCCGGGGAAGGGCGTGTCACAGATCCATCACCTCCTCTTCCACGGCTTTGTCCTGAGATTGCACATACTTCTCCTGCACTGCCAGGGTGCTGATAACGCACTAATTAAGGAAAACGAGGGGCTGGGCTCAAACACTCCCTTCTGCAGGAGCTCCGAGTTCCCAGCGAGGAACCTGCCCAGCCTCACATTAGCCCCAAGGCCATCAGGAAGAGGCAGCATCACCTGAGCTACTTCTGGCTCTGCCTGATCCCAACAAGCCCAGGAGAATCGATTGTACGGTTTGAAGGAGAAGGAAAGAACCCATCCAAGGGAGGGTGAGAGAGAGGAAAGTTGTCAAAGGACTCCTGACACATTCAGGGTTTCAATCAGCAACAGCTTTGGTGGCTTTGGTGAGGACAAGTGTAAACCCAGTCCCCACTCTGTCACCCACCAGGTGATGTCAGCAACCAGCTGGGCCTGCAAATTCCACCTTTGTCCCCCAGCGAGAGAGAAATTGAACTCAGCACCACAGAGGATACGAAGAGAAGTGGAAATCGGCCCCCACAGCTGCCGACATCAGCGCCTCCAGGCTCCGGTGCTCCTGGTCCCCGAAGGAATATCCATTGGCCTTGTCCACGGCCTGCACCACCTGCCGCATGCTCTGCTTGTCCTGGGGGAGGGACACGGCTCCCTGGGCAGCTGCTCCTGCCCCACAGGCAGCAGGGCTGGGCTCTGGACGCTGTGGGGCAGCTGCTCCTGCCCCACAGGCAGCAGGGCTGGGCTCTGTGCCGCCCGACAGCGCCCGAGGCCCTGCAACACCAGCAGGGACAAACAGGGACACTGGTGACACCCTCCACCCTCTCATTCCCTTTCATCACCTGGCCCAGCCCATTTGCCTGCTGACACTTCTGCCAACTGCCTGATTTCCAGCGCTCCCTCCCCAGTGTATTCCTCCCAGTCTTCTCATTATTTGCTGCCCCCGAATTTAACACGGTTCTGGGTGATCCTCAGCCCAGGCCAGAAGAGCTGAAGGAAGGGGAGCCTGGATTCCCCACCCCAGGACACAAGGCCCAGGTAGCTCCAGGCTCATCAGCCTTTCCCTTCCTTTGGCTGCCACAGATCATTTCCAGTCCTGGGTGTTTCCCTGTTTCCCAGCTCTGAGTCTGCTCACAGCTGAGGTTTCCAGCCCTGTGGCTCCCAGCAGACAAAAAGCAGCTGCTGCACAATCAGGGCTCCCTGTTCCCTCCTGCTGGGTCACCTGGACGTTGAGAGGCACGAAGGACACCAGGCTGTAGTCCTCGATCACCTCCACCAGCTTCTCGTTGAGGCGGCGGAAATTCCTGAAGAAGGGATCGGAGGCCAAATGGTCAAGGAGGTAAGAGAGGTCCAGGACCTCGGTGTAATAATCCAGGTTGAAAGCTGCAGGGAAACAGGGAGCTCTGGAGGCAAGCTGGAAGCTGAAGAGCACAATGGGACCCACAGAAGTTTCCCCCATTCTCACCCAGCCGATTGGTGCCAGTTGCACATCCCTCCCCCACAAACTCCTCTGTCCAAGGGCAGAATGGAGCCCTGAGCCACCCTGGCCAGTGGAAGGTGTGTTTGTTGAGGGAGGCAGGAGAGGTGAGGTTTGAGTGCCTCCCCCCGCAGCACGCCGTGGCTCTGGGGGATTCCCTTACCCAGCTTCCCGTACTGCTCGATCAGGTCCATCTTGGAGAGGACGTTGACGTGGGGCAGCTCCACGTGCAGCATGGTGGAGAGGGAGGTGCAGAGCACGGAGATGAACTTCCCGGGATCTGTGCAGTAGTGGGAATCCACCAGGTGCACGGCAGCCAGCTGAGAGCAGAGGCACAAAGGGACACAGGGTCACCGCTGTGACAAACCCGTGGGACAGCTCCTGGGGAAAGCAGCACCCAGCTCCCACAAAACACAGCAACAGGGAATCCTGGAATGCTTTGGATCAGAGGGGACCTCAAAGCTCACCTGGCCCCAGCCATGGCACCTTCCACCATCCCAGCCTGGCCTGGGACACTGCCAGGGATCCAGGGACAGCCCCAGCTGCTCTGGGCACCCTGTGCCAGGGCCTGCCCGCCCTGCCAGGAACAATTCCTGCCCAAAATCCCACCCAGCCCTGCCCTCTGCCACTGGGAGCCATTCCCTGTGTCCTGTCCCTCCATCCCTTGTCCCCAGTCCCTCTCCAGCTCTCCTGGAGCCCCTTTGGGCCCTGGAAGGGGCTCTGAGCTCTTCCACCAACAGCACCACAAGAAACTCCAACCTGCAGCTGCTCCCCCTTTTCCCAGGGTTTCTCTCTCTGCAGCTGAAGTCTCCACACTTGTCTGGACTCTGCAGGGTTTTTGGGGTGGCAGCTGGGGCAATCCTGGACAGTACAACTGTCTCCAGATCCCCCCAGCACTGCCCAGGCCCACACAGGAGCAGTGAGTGCAGCACACCTTCTGCTGGGAGACTCGACTGCATTTGCACTAATGATTAATAGTTACACTAACGAGCACTTTGATTCCCTGGGTTTTGTGTGGCTGCAACAATGTGGTCCCAGAGCTGGGGAGGTCACTCCAAGCCAGGGCTCTGAGGCTGAGTCACAGCAGCAGAGCCCAGCCAGTCTGGGGCTGCCAGGCAGGTGTGAGCACCTGGGAGAGCAGAAACCAGCCCTGTAAATGCCTTATTTTAGCAACTCCAATTCCATGTCCACTTATTCCAATGAAAACAAGCTCTAATGTGCAGATTCCCCGTGACATTCTCAAGCAAATGAAGTCGCCCTTCTTGCTCAGAGCAGCCAGGCTTTGCACGGGGATGGTGCAGAGCTGCTCTCAGCTGCAGCTCCCGTTGGGCAGGAGCCCAGAGCACGTCCCACGGGCTGCAGGAGGAGCCTGGCACGTCCCCTGCGTTCCTCAGGGCAGCACCAAGGCACCCAGCATGCACACAACCCCTCTCTGGATGAAACAGGAGGTGCTCCTTGTGCCATCCCTGCGAGTGTTCAGGGACAGGCTGGAGTTACCTGGACTCCTGAAGGTGTCCCTGCCCATGGAATGTGCTGGATGGGCTTTGAGGTCCTTTCCAACCCAAAGCATTTGGGGATTTTGTGCAAAGCGTGAGGAAGTGATCTGTGTTCCTGCTCCCAGCCCCACTAAAAGCCCTGACAGGCCATTCTTTTGCCAATCTCTCCCAGCATGAAAAAGGGTAAAATTCCACTCCTCCCCTGGTAAATCCCCTTCCCATGAAAGGCCAAGCAGCTCCTGAAGACAACAGCCACGAGTACCCCCAACCCCAGGGCTGCCAGGCACTGACCCAGCCCGTCCCTACCCTGAAATTCCACTTGGCCAGCTGGGCAAAGACGTTCTTCAGGGCCTCGTGGTGTGTGTAGAGCTCCACCTGCCCGGGGCAGTCGAAGAGGACGTAGTGTCCCCGCAGGCCCTGCAGCCTGTCCCGCAGCCAGTCTGCGTTGGCCTCCAGGTACTCCATGCAGTAGATGAGGCCCCCGTTGGGGCCCAGCCCCAGGCTGTCCATGACATCGGGCAGGGTGACGAGCTCGGCGATGTCCAGGGCGCAGGGCCAGGGCAGCGCCTCGTTGGCCGGGTCCAGGTTGACCACGGCCACGCTGCGGCCGATTCGGCTCAGGAAGTCCCGCATGGCGTGGCAGTAGGTCGTCTTCCCGGAGCCCGGTGGCCCGATGACCACCTGGCCAAAGGCCAGTGAGCCGGCCCTGCTGCCCTCAGCCATGGTGGCTCATCCCCGCCGCGGCTGAGGGGGGACAGCGGCCCCTCAGCGCCTGCCCTGGCGAGGATGGCTGAGCCAGAGAGCGAGGAGAGCCTGGGGGCCCATTCCTGACCCAATCCCTCCTTCCCTTCTCTGCTCACATCCCCCTTCCCCCTCACCATTCACCATTCCCTTCCCCAGCACCGCCTTTGCCCCAGCACCCCGTGGATGCCCAGGTCCCCGCCATCCCATTTAGCCCCGAGTTCCCCTCGCGTCCCCTCCTTCCCCACTCCCGCTTCCTTCCCACATCTCCCCTCCTTGCCCAGACCGCTTCAGCCCCCGATGAGCTCCCCGGTCCCGGTAATTCCCCCATGT